GAATTGGAGGCAGAGAATGACAAGAAGTTCAGGGTCATCCATGGCTGTGATGTGAGTGGGAGACCAACCGTGGACTCATGAGTACATGAGACTGTTCCAGCAAACAAGCAAAATAAAACAGGGCTGGAGAGAGACCCAAGTTTGGTTCCCAGACCTACTTTGGGCAGATCACAGTTGCCTATACCTGTAGCTCCAAGAAGTCCAGTGTCCTCTTGGTGTTCTCAAACATTGTATTCACATGCACGTACCTGCACTCAAACACAGGCATATACATGTAATTAAAAGCAAAATTACAAAAACAAGAATAAAACTCAATTTCTTATATTGAAAGACAAGGAGAGGTAGGATCCAGAACTCAAGTATAGATTTAGGCTGGTGGTTGTGGCACAAGCCTTTTTTTTTTTCTTTTAAGATTTATTTATTTTATTTGAGTACACTGTAGCTGTCTTCAGACACACCAGAAGAGAGCATCGGATCCCATTACAGATGGTTGTGAGCCACCATGTGGTTGCTAGGAATTGAACTCAGGACCTCTGGAAGAGCAGTCAGTGTTCTTAACCACTGAACCATCTCTCCAGCCCCCTGATGATGATATTATAAAAATTTACTTTGCAACGGAAATATTTCTATGTTGATGTGCTCACATCCTCTGAAACCTGAGTTTCTGGTAGTTGTGAGCAGACATGAGGATGCTGAGAACTGAACTCTCTGCAAGAGCAGAAATTGTTCTCAATCACTGAGCCATCTCTCCAGGTCCCTAGTGTTAACGTCTAACATTAATTCTTAGAACTTCAGAGAGTTTTGCAGTAAGTCTCTAGGTAAAGTCTGATGTGGAAATCAAGAAGCCCAAGTCCACAAACAGTCCCATGCCATCTGAAGTCCCATCTTCAGTTTCATGGCACTACACCTTTGCTGGCCATTTAAAGATAGAACCTACACTCTCCTTAAATTCACAACTGATGATGGAAAATGAATGCTAAATAAAAAAAAAAAAGTCCTACAGTTACTTAGAATTATAAATGACTTCAAATGTTTCCTATGGTCCAGAACTGTTTTAGACACTAAAAAAGGAAAGCTAGTCTCTTGGCCATGTTTTAAAGGTTGTAAAGCATGTGGAAGACCTTGGGGTCCATCCCTAGCATCACACACACAAAAAATTAGGCATGAAAATATATTTTGATGTTATATACACTAGTATGCATACACTCAATGGCTTCCAGTTCCTTAAACATGCACCAGCCCTGTGACCCAGAAACTCACTCCTGGGTGCCACAGACTCTCATAGGAGTGCTGGGTCAGCCTACTCACCTGTATTTTGTTTAACCAGCTGTCAAAAGGTAACTCAAATCTACACCTGAATATTCTCCCCTCTCTTCCTCTCCGCCTCCCTCCCTCCCCTCTCTCTGTTTTGTTTTTTTGAGACAGATTTCTTTGTATACCCTTGCTGTCCTGAAACTTGCTCTGTAGACCAGGCTGGCTCACAACAATCTATAATGTGATTTGATGCCCTCTTCTGGTGTGTCTGAAGACAGCAACAGTGTACTCACATATATAAAATAATCTTTTTAAAAAATTTGATTACAATTTCTATTTTTTATTTACATTATTATTATTATTATTATTATTATTATATGTGTGTGAGAGAGAGGAAGGGGCAGTGGTTATAGTGGTTATTCCCTGCCAGTAGTCAGAGAACAACATTCTCCTTCTGCTGTGAAACTTAGGGATAAGCTGTTTTTATTCTTTTGCTTCTGTGCCATTTGCTGGTCCAACCTTGCTTCTTTTTTTTTTTTTTTTTTTTTAATTTAAAGAACATCTAAAGCCAGGCAGTGGTGGTGCAAGCCTTTAATCTCAGCACTTAAGAGCAGAGGCAGGCAGATCTGAGTTCAAGGCTAGCCTGGTCTACATAGTCAGTTCCAGGACAGCCAGGGCTATACAGAGAAACCCTGTCATGGATCATCCTCCCCCCCCCCCAAAAAAAAGAGAGCAACTAAATATTTTTAATATTTCATTTTGTGTGTATGAGTGTTTTGCTTGCATGTTTGTCTGTACCATGTACATAGAAGCCGGAAAAAGATGTTGGATCCCCTAGAATTGTAGTTATGGTCAGTTGTGAGCTGCCATGTGGGTGCTGGGAATCACACGCAGGTCCTTTACATAAACAAGTGCTCTCAACTACCGAGCCATCTTTTCAGCCCTTGAAGGGCAATTTGTAAGTTACATTTATGTACAGAAAACTCAGCAGTGTACAGTTAACCCATGTTGGTGACAGTTCTTTGTCCTTTACTTTTTCCAACTTGGCAGTGTGAGCCACAGAGATTGGACCTAGGACATTACTTTCCCAATGACAACAGATCTCATCATGTCTGTTGTTATCATTGGCTCTGGTAGCTTTCACCAGCTCAGCCAGGGTCTTTGTCTTTGACCTAACCTGTGTCTTCCTGTGGCCCAGATACTCTACCTTGCCTGCTCCCGATGCAGCAAGGGACCTCCACCTGTGGACACAAGGCAGGAAAACCACTAGTTCCATTGAGTCTGTAATGTATAATTGCCCCCAGCTAAGCATTCCTGTTTTCTACCAAGACAGTGACAATATTGGGGCCCACTCAAAGTGCAGGTGGTCTCTTATCAAGGATGTTTGTTCCTCTTGTCAGCAGTTTTCTTCTTAGCTTAGGCTGGCAGTGGCCTGTATTGTCTTTGGTCTGTATTGTGGGTTAGCTCAAGCAGCTGGGAGGCTGTCTTGCCTGTCTGGCTGTCCAGGGCTTGGGTGAACTGGTTAGCCTCAGGAGACACCAGTCAGCCTTTCACCACTGCAGCCAGATGTGATGCAGTCCTTTGACCGGGTCGAATGTTAGGTCTCTGGTGAGATGTCCTGTCCAGTGCCAGAGTGCTTAGGCTTTGTCTGACTCATCATCTCCTGCCTCCAGCTATTGCTTCTTTTTAAATTTTGAGACAGGGTCTCTCTACATAGACCAGGCTGGCCTTGAACTCATAGAGATTGGCCTGTACTGAGATTAAAGGGACATGCCACCATGCCTGACTCTTCTCTTTTTCATTTTCTGTCTGCTCCTGGGCTTTCTTGCTCTGTAGATCAGTTAACAACTTTCTGAAGTTTTGTGTGTGTTTCTACCTAGCTTTTCCGGGATAGTTTTATGCTTTCTCCTGAATGGCTTATTTCCTGTGAGTGCTGAGTAGTATTACTTGGTGTAGAACTCTAAAATTGGTTTTCTTTCCTCTGTTAATTTACTTTTGGTTTGTAGCTGGCTGCTAGTATCAAAATGGTCAGTGGTAATATCCCCTGTGAATCTGGAGGCAAGTGTGCATTTCTCTTGGGAATCATTCCGCTACAATGTGGAAGTTCATTCAGCTGGTTACATTTTCATAGGTATTCATGTATGATCAGTTTTTAAAGTTCACATTTTTAGTTTAGGATCTTTCTAGCCCAGGAGTGGTTGGAACTTGCTGTGTAGCTCAGGCTGACCTCAAACTCTTGATTTTTCTGGTCCAGCTTTGTGCTGGGATTGTAAGTGTATGCCACTGTTCCTGGTTTAGAAATCTTTTTTTTTTTTTTTCCTCAAGACAGGGTTTCTCTTTTTTTTTTTTTTTAAATATTTATTTATTTTATTGATGAGTACACTGTAGCTGTCTTCAGACACACCAGAAGAGGGCATCCAATCTCATTATGGATGGTTGTGAGCCACCATGTGGTTGCTGGGATTTGAACTCAGGACCTCTGGAAGATCAGTCAGTACTCTTAACTGCTGAGCCATCTCTCCAGCCCAGGGTTTCTCTTTATAGCCCAGGCTGTCCTGGAACTCAGAAATCTACCTGCCTCTGCCTCCCAAAGGCTGGGATTAAAGGTGTTCGACACCACTGCCTGGCTAGAAATCCTTTTCTTTTCTTTTTTTTTTTTTTTTTTTTTTTTTTTTTTTTTTTTTTTTTTTAAGATTTATTTATTTTATTGATTAGCACACTGTCTCTGTCTTCAGAGACACCAGAAGAGGGCATCCAATCTCATTACGGATGGTTGTGAGCTACCATGTGGTTGCTGGGATTTGAACTCAGGACCTCTGGAAGAGCAGTCAGTGCTCTTAACCGCTGAGCCATCTCTCCAGCCCTAGAAATCCTTTTCAATAACCGAATTTGTCCTGCTCTGGAATTGACAGAATTTCGAATATAGAAATAGAGGTTTATTAGTAGGTAAACTCTTCGTGCAACTAATGACTGGAAAATAGAGTTTCAGATTATATGAAAGATAATTTTTTTTAAAAAGAACTGTCTTATTAAGCTCAGTACAGTTGTTACATATGCATGCTAACTGACTTCTCAAAGCATGGTCTATTTAACATGAATAGGAGGGAACTCAGAAGACACATTTTCTTCTCGAAGTCCTGGATGTTTGAAGATTTTCCCTTTAAAAGATATTTTTGTGCCCTCAGTCTTTGGGAGTGACTGGTGTCTTGTCCTGTGAGTTAGCTTTGGCATAGTTTTGGGAAGTCAGTTACGTTTTGTTTGGTCAGTGCACATGAGTGCTGTATAGAGAAGCAAAGGAAGAGAGAAAAGCACAGATCTTTGAAGCATGCAGAGGTGAGTAGCAAAAATTTGCAACTCTCAAGCAGTCGTGGAGTGTGAGGAAGCAGCACACTTTAGCCATGACGTTCTCTTCTAAGGAAGAACAGCTTGAAGGCTGTCATTCTGAGAGGGTTGCAGTATTTTAAAGTCAGTCACTTAGCACATCTTAAAAAATAGTGGTGAGATTCGGGTGTTTTTCTTCCGTCTTAAAAGGAACTATGCACATTTGGCTGTCGTCTTGATAGTTGTGAGGCTCCGAGGGATGGAGCCTTTTTACAATCCAGGTGGCCAGAGGTAGCTCTCTGAGCTTTATCCTATTGGGCTTAGGGTAAATGAAGTTATTTTTATCTATTTTAAGCAGAAACGGTAGATTCCTATTTCTGATTCTTCATGCATGACCTTGAATCTCTTATTTTTGTATTTTGCAGTACATTTCTATACCTGAAATTCCTGGTAGTGTGGGCACTTGTCCTCTTGGCCGACTTTGTCCTGGAGTTCCGATTTGAATATCTGTGGCCATTCTGGCTTTTCATCAGAAGCGTCTATGATTCCTTCAGATACCAGGGACTGGTATGTTTCTATTGCATGTTCTCCAACTGTGAGGGATTTAGTTACCCTTCTAATTAAGAGAATATCTAAGGTGGCTGATACTGACCTGTTTTAAATGGATTTTATTAGGAATAAATTAGCTGTTAGCAATGGAAGTACCTGTTTTGGGATGAGTTAATTGGATCTGTAGATTAAAACTGGACTGTTCTAAGCCCACTGACGAATGGCTCTGTTTTGTCCTCCTCCGCTTGAGTGGGGAGAAGGGTTGGGTGGAAGATGACAAGAGGGGCGTACCGATGGAGGATTCATCGTGGCCTAGTATTGCCCTGGAGTGCTCTGGAACTAAGTTGTCATTGAGGCAAAGCAGTGATTTTCATTGGTCTCAAGACTCCTTTTAAGTAATTAAAAATTCTTGAGAACTCCAAAGAGCTTCCTTTAGTGTAGGTTACAAAATAAGCCAGGGGTGGTAAGGCACACCTTTATTTAGTCCCAGCACCCAGGAGGCAGAAGTAGGAGGATCTCTGTGAGTTCCAGCCAGCCTGGTCTACAGAGTGAGTGTCAGGTGAGCTAGGGATACAGAGACCCTGTTCTCAATAAAAATCAATCAAATAAATAACAATTGAAAAAACAAAAGAGAAAATAAAACAAAAAGTAAAATTATTTATTAAGTCACTGAAAATAACTATTTACCCAAAAAATCAAATAGAAAGGAGGCTCTGGTTTTTAGAGCTCTCTGTTTGGAAGGATCTCAGGGCCACTTGAGGAGTCTCTAGACCACAGGTTTTAAATTATCCAGTTAGAGCCTGGACACAGCCTGAGCTTATTCTTTTGACTTACGTGTTATTTCTATTGTGTTCCATAGCTACACCCTACAACTAACTCTCCAGTCCAGGCCTGGCGCTTTGGTCAGAGCAAATCCATGCTTCCAAAAGATGGCTTCAAGCTTATGTCTTAGTGGTAATGAACAGTGGTGTCCAGAGGAAGGCAGCATTATTAATATTACCACCAGCATATTTCTTGCCAATATTTTGGTTCATCTGCATTCCAGCAAGCTTTAAGAATGAAGCTCTTTAGGAATGGTTTATGAGGAAACAGGAAGCTTTTCAGTGTTAAAGTTCTTGTTCATTCAGGTAAAACCTGCCTTTAGAATCCCAATGAGTTCACGGTGGTCCAACCTCAGTTTCAGCCCAGTTCATGTCCTTGGCTTAAGAACCATGAACAAGAGCACTCTTTAATGTTGAAGTAGCTACTGCTTTTTAGTGTATGTGCTGCTCAAGCAAGCTTATAACCACTGCTTCCCCCTGGTCTATTCTGAGTGTTTGAAATTTCCTCTTGTTAAATTGCTTTATATTCAGCAGTTTTGTTCAACAAAGCTTTTAATAGCATACTTGAAAATAACAAATTCTGAAATGTGGCTTTTAATTTGCTTTTTTTCCCTGTCTTTAGGCCTTCTCAGTATTTTTTGTTTGTGTAGCATTCACTTCAAATATCATATGTCTCCTCTTCATTCCCATACAATGGCTTTTTTTCGCTGCTAGCACATATGTATGGGTCCAGTACGTATGGCACACAGGTGAGTCTTAATGACTTCTTAGTTAGGAATTTTAGATGCAAGTTAATGAATTATTTAGATTGATATTTTAAAGTTCCTTTTCCCTTTTTTTTTTTTTTTTTGAGACAGGGTTTCTCTGTGTACCAATACATCTTAATATGTTGTTTGGCTTGTGGTTGTGGTTTGTTGCTTTGTGGGGTTTTGTTTGTTCTTTGGTTGTAGACTTGGTTATTTGAGGCAGGGCCTTACTAGGTAATCCTGATTGTTCTGTAACTGACTGTGTAGGCCTGGCCAGCCTGGAACTCAGAGCGATACTCCTGCCTTTGCCTCCTGAGTTCTGGGGTTATAGGTGTACCCTACCTTACCTCCTCCTGAGTTCTGGGGTTATAGGTGTACCCTACCTTGCCCCTCCTCCTGAGTTCTGGGGTTATAGGTGTACCCTACCTTGCCCCTCCTCCTGAGTTCTGGGGTT